CAATGAGAACAATATCCTCAATAACTGAGGAAAAAATTAGCAGAAATCTATGGCTACTTTTTTGGCAAATGAAATAAATATTACAGAGACATAACCGGCCCAACAGCGCATGTCCAAATTATGTTGCCTTTAAAGGATAAAAATGCAAGGTATTTGAAGGCACTTTTTTCTGGGACATGGATGAATAATCAATCAAAGATAGTCAAACTCTGTGATATAACACGCTGCATTGAAATATAATCGAGCTTATTTGCTGCGCATGGAGATTACCAAAAGTCACCTAAATAACACCTAATTTCCGTTGCCCTTTAAGATCAGTTTATCCCACAAAAAATCATAAATAAAAATAAAATAAAAAGAAATAAACACGGAAACAACAACAAAAGCAAAAACAAAAAACAAAAAACAAAAACAAAAACAAAAAAAACAGAAAAATAAGCAGAAAACAGCTGAAGTAGTAATCTAAGATGAGAGACAGTGTTTCATCGGGATATCTAAACACCGAGAAGAGAGTTGAAATATGACGCGCAGCGGAGTGTTTTTGACGAAATTCGAGGTCTTTGGATAGCCGATGAAACGCTTTCTCGAGTGTTTGATATATCTTCTCAATCGAAACAAAAACTAAGGAGTAAACAGAGAAGCAAAACCGTCAAAATCTACGCTAACAAGACCTTGATAATCTTGCAAACCTCTTTCACAGTTGTGATTTTGTTTTAACTTGATGGATTACTAATGAGTTTGAGAAGTGAAAATCTCTTTCCATAAAAAAAAAAAACTATCTTTATTCACACCGGTACCATACATTGATACAAGTCTAACCATATACAGCTATTAAAATTCACATCAATAGACAGGATTTCCTATGTACAAAGTTCTCTGTGTCCAGTTACACCACGGTTTCAACTGACGGTCCCCGCCGCCGAAGACTGGGTACCAGACATGGGTGGAAGAGCCGCAGGGAGTGATGGGGCAGTTACGTCTTGTTGCGTAAGGAAGGTGTTGTCCCCCAGTGCTTCCTGTGTTAGCTCGCCTGCATTTGACAGGGCTTTCGACTGAACATCTGGAGGCGAATGCTCCAGAGCAGGTACCTTGGATCTAGATATGGAAAAAAGGGAAAAAATATAAGCTATGAACTTAATTCTGACTGTTTCTCTAGACATCTCTCGGTACTGTAACTGCTGTATGCCAAAGTGTTTATTATTACTATTATTATTATTATTATTATTATTATTATTATTATTATTATTATTATTATTATTTCACAGTTGTAATGGTCTGTACTACTCCTTTTAGCTTCCTAATTTTTCTTTCGCGAGTTCTCTATCGTTTTAAAATATGATTTAGGCGTACGATCAGCTTGTTCGCAGTCATTGCTTGACCTACACTGTACATGTAACTTGGTCTGCCATAATTTCGAACAAAACATACTAAGTATGGTTCAGGAAAAAAAAGACACAAACAAAAACTGTCATAAAGAGTATGACAAACAAACATCAAACCTTCTTTTTTCTTTAAACCCATTCATCTTCGCAAACATCAATCTCAGAATGCGCTCACGTTGTTCCCAGGTAAGTTCGGCCATGTCGACTTTTCCCTGGACCCCAGTCCACCGCTCGGCTTCCTTCAGATCGTCGAACACGTTGTTCGTACTACTGTCTAATTGGCGGAAAGTTCTCACGCGCGGAAAATCACCTTGACCGGCGTGAGCCTCGAGCATGCGCTGTTGGTAAGCGTTTTGGGCGTCTTTTCGATATTGCACTCTACGGAGGAAAATCGACATTTCCTGAATCAACTGTTAAGTTATTTTCTCTTTCTCTTTTTTTTCTGTACTATGAGGTATAATATTTACAATGGAACAAACTTACGATCGAGCACGGTCAACCACGCAATTTTTTTTCCTAAATTAAATGATTTCAAAGACGAAATTAACTTTCTGTTTGAATACCCGAAGTACTCAACTTCGAGAGAAGAACTCTTATCGAATTTTTCAATTCTTATCTAATATTTCCGCAAAAAAATTAATACCTACATAAATTAATTAATTAATAAATTAATTAAAAAGCATATAAAGAATCGATGAACTGTGAAGAATATGCTCGTATAACGTCTTGTCACCAACACGAGTAGGAAATGTTTTCCATTATTTTTATTCCGGAGAATTCACCCAAAATTGTATTAAAACAAAAAATTCAGTCAACAAAAAGGTGTCAAAGTTGCCTTTGCAAAGCCGTAAGCAACGGTAGTGGCAAGAGAAACCTAAAAGGGGAAGATCCCCAGCATAATATAAGCAAAACAAATGTACCTATTTCTGACGATTTCATTTTTAACGTACTCCAGTGAATCCAAGAAAAACTGCTCGACTTCAGTTCTCTAAAAATACAGAATTATACAAAAATGTTACTTGATAGAAAATGTGGTTAAATGTCTGACAGCTACATACAAAACTGAAGCTAAACCAGTTACCACAGAAGAACGTCTTGCGGCTCCAGTAAGCACGATAGTACTGTTTCGAAAGTATAGGATGGGGTAAGGAAGAATAGCCCAGCTGAATTTCCTCACGACAGCTTTTAAAGATCACGTTTGTGAAGTCGTGTATAGAAGAAACTTCAAAAGAAAATAAACGTATAAAAATCTCTAACATTTCAAAGACATCTGAAGTAGGAACAGTGTACTAGACTAGCTTTACTATCGTTAATTTTAGAAACAGTGTAAGAGATACACATTTCGATGTTGTTATGAAGGATGCGTGTTCTAATTGTCACCTATGTACTCCTCGATACCTGTTACTTTAATTTTTATTCCTCAGTAGTTTATTGCATTTGTAATTTTAGAAATAAATTTCAATATCTTACTCTTCTTCTAATTTTTCTAATTTAAACATGGTAAATTTATTGTCATCTTATTGGAAATAAATTATATACTCTACTTTAACGTCATCAGCGTCCACAATTAACTGCATAAGCTAAATACCTCTGAGACGTTAATAAAGTTAATTCATTCATTCCTTCATTATGCATTCATTCACGTGTAAATCATCGACAAAGAGACGTAAGGTAAACTTTACGTACTAAGTACTGAAAGTTTACCTCAGGTCACTTCGTACGACTGTATCATCACTTCAGTTTTCCACTTACTTCCCTACTTAAATACCTAAGAAAAAAAACATACTCTTTCCTGTTTTTAAATCAGGGTCTACCTCTTCTCACCTGATCTAAGATGGTCTTCGCCAATCTCTTGACACGGTTCATCTCCTTTGTTTTAAGCTCCACTATTCTTTGCAACCGCGAAATTTCAGCTCTGCAACAAATACGAAAGCAATACGTTACAGCTAATGTAGTTTTAACACTTTAAAGCGGTTTTCATTTGAGTGCCGAAAACTTATTCGTTTTTGTATCACTGCGCTACACGATTGGCTTAAAAAACTCGCGCCACTTTTTCATCCAATCACAAGTAAAACCAAAACCAATGGCGACTCTCTCGCACACGTTTTCCCGCGCTTTGCGTCAGCTTCATGTCATTGCTTCGAGTTTTGATTGGTTCACTGTACTGTCTGTGTCATTTGTGATTGGCTAGAGTGATTACTCTGGTTTTGGTTTTACAACACTCAATTAAAAACCGTTCTATATCACTTTAACTACTTGTGGAGACAGCGTAGTACTTTTATAAATATAAAAAAATGACGGAGGAGAGTCAGAATGGCGATGTTGTAGTCTCAGCTATCAGCTTCATTAAAAGTTTCAGCCTTGTTGTCAGCTTTCCGGTTAACAAAATGACATAAAAATTTTGGCAAATTCTCAACTGTCAGTTAACCCCATCCAGACCCTCACAGGAGTGATCTGCGGATATGTCATTTGTTAGCTGATACGTGAAAAATCTTTCACCTGCAGTTTCGAGTTTCATCCTCAGACTTCTGTACCAGGCTCGCTCGTTCGGCCTCGAACTCACGCACCACGTGACTTAAGGATTTTTCCAACGTCTTGACCTTTTCTTGAAGCTACGTGTATGAGGACAAACCAGTACAGTTACTTTATGGAGAAAGGTCAACATTTCTACTTAGCTACAGTAACATAGTTCTGCGTTTGATTCAACTACAGTATTGTCAAATTCAAAACGCACAGATCTGGGAAGACCACATATTTCTTTGCATATGTCACATGGCCTCCTTAAATTTTAGATTTTTCCGCAATCTGATTCTTCTCCCCTTGGAGTACGGCCATCTTCTCTCGATAAAAGATCATCGTTCGTCAAAAGTGAAGAGGAAATTCGTCAAATGTAAATACCTCTGCAATTTGTTTTTTCTGATGTTTACTCTCCACAATTTTCTCTTGCACAATCATGCCGTTCAGTTCCTAGATGTAGAGAAACACAGACAAAAATAATAAATTGATGATAGTTTCGATGAGATTGACATTGTCTTAAAAGATATCAGGGTATAATGCTGTACTCTGTATAAGCAACTGAAACTAAAACCCAACTTCGCAGCTAGCATGTTTTTTTTACCAATTTTAGCTTGCACGTCGTTGCTTCCAGGCCAGTCAGATACAAAACAAAACCCATCCTAAAATGAGCGCTTTCCATTCGAAAATTGTCAGTGACATTAGGAACACCATTTTCCTGAATTATCAGAAGAGTACAACCTCACGAGGTATGGTCAAATTTTCCGACCTTTCTTAACGGAAATTTCCGTTCCATTTTATTTTTCTCCCGAAAATTCCGAAATTTTTCGGTTGCATGGTTCGCTTTTCGGAAATTCAACAACTTCCGGATTTCATTGAGACTTTTCCGAGGAAATTTCCGCACCATTTGTTCCCGGTCTTGACTTGTTTTGCTTCGTATTCGCGTATTTCGTCCAACGCTGGGAAAGAAAAGAGATCTCTGGCAGTCTATTACAACTGATAGTCAAAATCGTTTAAAAACCATACCTTCTCAGACAACAGATCACCCGTCTTTGCGTCCATGATTTCTTTTTCCTTTACGAAAACAAAGAAAGAAACCAAATTATTTATAAACTGAATCTTCTTCAGAGAGAAAAATATAAAATGCCGTCTAATCCCAACTCTCCAAGCCATCGTTTTTTCGATTCTCCTGTTATTGGAAACAGTTTTTGTTCCTTTGCCCCAATAGGTCGTAATATTGGCTTGTACCTTTGTTGCACATGTTTATATCTCTATTTATTAAGTTACTTTTGCTTTGAATTTAATACACATGACCGTAAATTGTTTATTAATTGTATTCTATAGATAGCTACCTATTTTCTTTACCCTTATGGTTGTTAAAGAAAGCCAATACCATATTTATAAACTCTTCAAATTATTCTAATCTTCTTTCCTTTTTGGTGTAAAGAAATGTTGTTGTTGTTGAGTTGTAAACGCAATTTACCCCAAATTTTTCCAAAACTCTCGATTTCCAGAACCAATTTTCATTTCCCTATTGTTCAATAAATTGGGATTTCACTGTACGTCGTTAAAGATAACTAGAAGTTCTTTGCGACTGAGAACAAACAAACCTTTTTTAGTTCCTGTCCTTCTTTCAAGTGAAAATCTAGCGCAGCATTTAGTCTGACGTTCTCCTTGTATACAGATCGTGTTGTCTCGTCCAAATTACTGACAAAACAAACAAGCAAACTCTCTTTAGTCTGTTAAAACAAAACTGAAACAAAACCGAAACCAAAACAAAGAAAATTCTTTCTCAAACGTATTAATAATTCAACAAGTTTCAACACAGGAAACCAAAACTGTGACGGTGTTAATTAGTCTGGATTTTTACGATTTTATTTCTTCGTTTTCTCGTTTGTTTTAATTTCAGTTGGGGAGATATATCAAACGCTCAAGACAGTGTTTGACCACATTTCCAAACATCTCGAAGTTCGTCAAAAATATCCCGCTACCTGTGGCATTTTCAACTTTATTTTCAGTGTTTGGAAATGTGGTCAGAAGCGGTCTTTGATACATATAACTTGAAGTATTGAATAGTACATGTATAAAATTGAGTATATCGAAAATTAAGTCAATTATGTTTCCTAATCTAGGTTTTTTTTCCCTCACATAACACATGAATACAAATCTTAAAAACAATGTCGATAGAGCGGTTTTCAATTGAGTATCCCTCTGGCCAATCATAAAGGACAAAAACAATCCAGAGAACCAATCAAATTTCCAAGAACATACTTATTACATGTACATGTATGTACAATAAGATGTAGCTTATTAAAAGCAAAACACTGAGTGGAGGGAAATGTGTCTGACTATTGGTTTTGGTTTTACTTCTGACTGACTGACAAAGTGGAAAATATTTCAATTAGAATTTATAAAACAAAGCAAATGTGAACTACCGCTAGTTACATGTACATGCAGTTTTGGCACTTAAGGGAAATTTGCTCTAGACACGATTTACTGTACATGTGCGAGTTCTAACATTACTCACCTGATTGCCTCAGAGTGTGCTCTCTCTGCAAGCTCTGCAATCTTTTTACTTGCTTCTTGCTGAAGTCGAACTTTTTCTTCAAAAAACTTGTGTTCCATTTGCTGCAAAGTGTCCTTATGGTGTCTTTCAGTAGCAAACATGTTTTCCTTTATCTGATGAGGAAAGCGCACGGAGAAATGGTGTCATACAGTCAT